ATGGATCTTCGTTAGAGCCGAGCCCAACGAGGCACTAGGTGACCCGCCTTGGAAGAACTTCGCGTTCTGTTTCTCGCTATAATGATTACTTGTCTTCTCCATATTATGGCTTATTATAGTACGAACTTCATTGCCTGCCATTAGAAGTGCGTACTGCAATATTTCGCGGGTAATAGTCTGGCAGCAATGCCCAAATCTAGTTTTGAACACTCCTGGAAAATTATTTCTCACTTAGATAGCCGTCAGCTATTGAAGCCAATACAGGTGGATTGAGCGGATGTGAAATATGGGACCGCATCCCGTTCGAGGTTGCTAAATTTTTAGAACTGTAATCTCTCAAACCGTCATGAAACAAAGGAGAAGTCAAAATCGTTATTGGATCTTCACGCATTTGCTGCATCTGACTGACGCAATTGGAAACAGTGACTGTCCCTTGAGCGCTTCGAAACTGGACCATTCTATTAGCACTTTATCAATAGCATAAAAAGCCTACTGCTTTACCTTTACATTGGATTCGAATGACGATTGACAATGTTTGAAAGGAATTGACAAGACGATGTGAAACCACTCATGTAATCGTGTTTTGGCAGCAAATCATAGAACGGATGTGCTGATGTTGGTGTTAATCACAAATTGTTATCTCTTGCGCTACTGCGTTCGGTGTTAGAGTTGATAACCCTTTCGGTCTCTAGCAAACCATCAGCATTCATTATGAAGGCGAAACTATGAGGAGATGAAAAAAAAATATATCTTACAAGACTCTGCGGACAAAATAACATATGAATAATCTTTCGCTAGAGCAACCTCAAGGTATCTTTGTCACAAACGATCTACTGTTTGGGCACAGAATTATTCATTTAAAAAAAATACATCCAATGAACATTAATTCATTTTAGGAGTAGAGTTGCTTGCTGGTCGCACTTGAGAAGAACTAATTTAATGATATTTGATAATTAGCTTTGAGGTTCTTACGCTCCTTATGCACTTGCATGTGAAAACATTTAGAGGTCACAATAAGCAGTCACTGCATCTTTCTGTAAGTAAGATATCAGACTACTGCAAGAGTTTTTCCGTAAAAATGACCGCCTTTCTTTTTACTCATAATGTGTCAAGCAATACTATCGCCATTCAAAACAGCAAACTCTCGCCATAGATGCACCTCCTAGAAGTACTTTATAAACAGCGCCAGAAAAATAAGCGTTATAATGCAAGTCAGGTGACAAAGCCTATTTGCAAGGGTGAGGAGTCAGCTTAATAATTAGCAGAAGAGGCTGCATGAGGTGAACACGATGGCGAAAGCAAAGCTTCGTAATCTTATAAATTTTTCTTAAATTGTGAAATTTCCCTAACTAGGGATACCCTGGGAAATCAACGAAAATCCATTTTTTATAGCATCTGCTATTAATTGCAGTTATTTGTTTTTAAAAATATTATTGTTTTGTCTCGAAATACCACGATTGGACGATTCCTTGCATTTACCATATGTAGTGCGGGAAAGCTCAATGCACGCTTAGCTGTAGGTGCAGCTATTTCTATATATGCACCAACAACTAACTATGCATTACACCACAAAGGTCCCTATGGTCATACTAATGATATAAACTTAGGATCGTATTCAAGTTTCCATTAAGAGAGGGGATTAACAGACATTCATGTTGAGGCTCAATGCACGAATTTCTTTATTTATTTAAAAAAGACAATTGGTCAAAGTGACGGTTTAGAAAGAGAAGCATATGGTAAATGCAGCTCGTAACGCCGATTCCAGATTTGCCTTTTATATCTGGTAAGCTTCCTCTGAAAAGGTTATGGACGTATTTCGTCTACCAAAATGGGTTGCGGGATTTAAAAAAAAAATGCTTAAAGCTTATGAGTAAAACAGCAAGGGAAAATTTGGTTATTGGTGTGTTATGGTTTCTCATAATAGTACCCTTGTGTCGTTACTTCTGGTTAAAGACTTCTCGCAGAATTTCACACGTCTTACATTTCAGGATAGTTCCGGACTAGAAAAATATTAGCAACTTCTGTTAGAAGAACGTCTACAAATATAGGAGTCAGATATGTTTTCAGCGCTTCAAGTGCATCTAGCAATGCGCATTCTTTTCGGATTTGTTACTTTGCCTAACGGCGTTTCATAACTATGCTAAACTAGTCGAGCATTTGCAATTTCGGAAAAACCTTAGCAATGACTAAGACTATGCTATAAGTCTAGTTAACCAAACTGTATCATCTTACGACATATGATAAAATATTCAGTTGCATGTTTTTAGTCCAATTTCAGCAAATGGAAGACTTAAAGTATTTAGACACTTCTCTTGATTGAACCACACCGCTACTATGCTATTCCGGAACAAGGTAATTTGAAAAGAAATCATATGTGTAAAATCAATGCGAAGTCAGAAAAAAGTCAATTTGGCACCATGAAAAATATAATGTTATATAATACATATTTAAGAAGAGGTTATCGGTCAAAGGCAAGCATTACTTACAATGAAGATGTGCCCATAAGTGATAAGCTCTGAGGATAATGTAACAAGCGGAAAAATTGATGGAAAACAAAAAAATATGAAACGCTATCAGTTGCCATGTGAGCACTCTCATTAGAATTTTGAGAAAAACTCAAGGTTAGAAGCAGGGTAAGGTAGCTGCACTTTGACGCATGCTTAGCTCTTAAAGTCACAACTAAGTAGGATAACAGGCGTGATCGATATCATCGCCGGAAAATTTTACTGAAAAGGCCAGGCTTTCTCGGTGAAGGCGATCGAACAGCGGCATCCGCAGGTTTTGGCGATGTTCCTTCCCCAGTACTGGATGCAGGTTTTTTGTCTGGTTCTACACCGATTACTTCTTCGGCTTCATTGACTGCTTGCTCAGCTTCAAGGATAATTTTCTTCATAGTTTCTTCATCAATGGACTCTTCATCCGAATCAGAAAGGGCTATCTAAAACGGAGTGGAGTAATTAGCTATTACGAAAAAAAACTAGCAAGTAAGCAACATGAAACTACTTCTGATAATTTTCATCATAAAAGGTCCGATCCTTCAAAAGCCTTTAAACTTAGCCAAACGCACCTTATCCAGTTGCTTATCCCAAAAGTGGCCAAGCTCACTACTCACTTTCTCTATTTCCATAGACTCTTGTCGAGCTGTAAATACATTCAATATACTTCAACTATGAAGCATAATACAAGAAGAAAGACCACACAACCCAATAAAACAAGTCTGGACTCACTTGCAGCTACCACTTTCTTCATTTTCTTCTTCATGTCTTCATCATCAACTTGACTAGAATTCACTCGTTTATTTGCTTCTTCCAACAATCTAAAAAGGTTTTGGAAAGTGACAAACAGCGTTTTAAGAAAAACCGAACCTTTTGATTTCATCCATCTCTTTTGCAGTAGCTTCACTGTAGGCAGTTGAAGAAGATACAGTTGATAGTCGGGGATCGCTTTGATCAACAATACCTCAAAAACTCAATGAGAGCATGGAAATAATGAAAAAAAA